CAAAAATTCACTTTTTTCGATATAACTCAAAAACTAAAAATAATTTTCAAAATTTTCGAAGGCTCTTGATATGAGCCTCCGAATGAGCAACTTTTTCCCCATTCAACCGATTTCGTATCTCTTACCGTTTTCGAGATCCCCATGCTGTTCAACCGTATCTTGGACAGAATTTTTTAAATGTAAATTTCCCTTCAACGTTTTACCAATACTGAAAATAAATATTGTATCAACTTTGAAGTGTGAAAATAATCAATATAATGTAATAATACCCTATCAATATTATTCATCGATATTCTTGTGAAGTGCTGTTCAATATGTTGCAGATATTGTTTGTAGATGTTTCTGGAAAATTCGTTTTCAAATGCTACTAGATATTTTCTGATAATATCTACATATATGTATATATATATTGTAAGAATATATGCCATCGATATGGTTTCTGGCATCATTTTGAATATGTGTCAATATTTGTTTTCAATGTATCCGTTACATTCAGAATCGAAGGTGTATCAACTTATAAATGAGAGATTGATCGTGATGATTCATTAATATCGTATCATCGTGAATGTTCAATATAAAATAACAATTTTTTGAAGATATATTGTGGAGATTGTTCCTGGATAACCACTCTATATCCTCATTCAATATCTGGATGATGATATTGTGTGAATAATAATAGATAGATATAATTTAGGGCAATATTTTGAATATATAGGTATATTTCACTTCGACATTTTTCGCGCATTGAAAATGAATGTTGTATCAACTTCAAAGTGTGAGAATGATCAATATGATTTATCAATATCCTGAAAAGGCGCTGTTCAATATGTTATAGATATTGTTTGTAGATATTTCTGTAGACTTCTTTCTCAATAGCTACTAGATATTATTCGCCAATATCCACATACATATATGTAATAATATTGGCCATCGATATAATTTCCGACATTATTTTAAATATGTGTCAATATTTGTAATCAATATACTACTTTCATTCATTATCTATCTCGTATCAACTTCCAGTTATGACATTATTCAATGGGATCCATCAATATCACATTATACTGATGATCAATATGAAAGATATATGCTTTTGTAGATATATCGCAATATCTATTCAACTATATTGTCTATATATAAGTTTTCGATATAGCTCTGAGCTTTATTTTTGATATTTGTCAATATTTTTTTTCAATTCACTCCCCACATTGGAATATCATTGTTCCATAAACTTTCGAATACGACATTATTCCATATATGATCATCTATCATCCCAGCATATTGATGTTGGATATAATATTTATATATTCCTTAAATATATCTTGAATATCAATTTTCAATGATCACCACATATTCTCAACCAATATCCGCATAACTATATTTTATGAATATTTTATATTGATTCTGTTCCAAGCATACTGTTCAATATGTGTATATATTTGTTTTGAATCTCCTGTTGATATTATGTATAGATATTGTATCAACGTTTGATTGATAGAAACATGAATATCATCCATCAATACCTAAGCATACCGATATTTCATACGGAATATATATTCCTTGGCGATATGTTTGAGATATTGTTAATGAATAACCCGTCCATATTCCTACCCAATGTCTGAGTTACTATATAGTATGAATATAAGATACTGATATAATTTGAAGCATTCTTTTGAATATGTGTCGATATTTTTTTTTTCAATTAGTCTCAACATCAGTCATGAATGCAATAACAAGATTATTTCTCATTATTGATCTATATTTGGTGTCAATATTCATAATATATCACTACGTGGTGATGCCAAGAATATTGCTCATCTTCATCCTACTATATTGTTGGTCAATATCGATGAGCCATCAGTTACATATATAGAGATGATGAATGATTCTCAATCAACGTACTTCATTGTTTTTTTCATATCAACAAATCAATATTGTAGGATGATTATAAATCAATATTATTTCAGATATTTTGTTGAATGATTTAACAATCTTTTTATGAAACATCGAATCAATATCGATCTACAATAGCATGTTGAATGTTTGGATCCAATATTGTGCCTACTTGATTTCTCGATATTGCGCCAATTTTTCATCTATATTGGTCCAATATCGGCCCAATATGAGTGTGCTACTTGGGTTGTGATAACGCATTCCTTTCCATTCACGGAATGATCTGAACTTCGTCGCTAAGACTAGCTCGAGTCTTGCTTAGAGAAATACCGATTCAATCAGTCACTAACGGAACAGATTGACATTAATGAATTACTAACGGAACAAATTGGCATCAATCATCAGTCACTACCGGAACAGATTGGCATCAATCAGCCACAAATGGAACAGATTGGCATCAATTAGTCACTAATGAAACAGATTGGCATCAATCAGTCACTAACGGAACATATTGCTATCAATCAGTCACTAAAGGAACAGATTGGATAACATTTTATATAATAAAAAAGCATCACATTGTATACTCTCTCATACCTAAATCGGAATATGAAAAAGCGTTACCACTTCACCACCATCAATTCTTTCAACTGTTTTTGAGCATATCAAGCAAAGTAACAGGCGTTACCAGGCCAGACGAGCATTTCAGTATTTTCTTCGCTGCCTTGACGCTCTTGTTCTTCTCAATACGCTTCAGTTTGTACTACATAGTCTGCGTGATCATTGGATCTCTCTTTCATTTGATCCAGACTACGGAAAAGTCTCTCTTATCCTGATATATATCATGAAACAAAAAAAAACAGAACAAAATGAAAATACTGCCTCAAATAAGTTCCAGAAATACATTGTGAGAATTGGAAAAGTTCGAACGGAACAAATAAATATCGAAAACTTGAGAAGAGTGAATTTGATCATAATGTTGATATTTCCTCTAGTTTATGGACAATCTCGGTCTTTTGAACTTTGATTGATCACCTGGGTCATAATCAACTGCATTTCGAAGAAGCTGATTCTCATGAACCTCAGCTTTTTCGAAAGTCTTGATGTTTCGTTGCCCAATGTCGGACACGATTGGAGGGAGTTTTAGATCCCTGGCAATCTGGTTATTCCGAACATACCAAGAAGATCCTGTCACCATTCGCGCGATTTTGTTTAGTAATGTTCGTAATCTGGTGATATGTGATTTAGCTGTGTGGCTCCAGACTACCGAGGCATACAGTAAAATTGGCCTGATAGCAGTCATGATGTTCAATGTGCTGTTCAATGTGCTGGGCCCAGGTGAGCTTTTTGTCAACGCACACACCTGAGTATTCAACTAGCTTGTGGAGACCACTCTAACTCATGACCATACAGGACTTTTCTCATCCTGGGAGGCCTCCACTTCCTTCCGAGTGCGATTAATTATGATTTTGCAGGATTCAACTCGATCTTCCATCTAAGGAAGTACTTCTGCAGAGAATTCAGCGCGCTATAGAGGTTCATAGCTGCTTGCTAGAAATTTGTCGGATATGCAAGAACTGCCGTATCATCAGCAAGAAGCGACATCTTGCACATCACTGGTCTCGGCAAATCGCTAGTATCTGAACTGTACAACAGCGGCGAGGAAACTGCACCCTGAGGAACACCAGCTTTGTTGATCATCAAGTTTCACTTGAAAAGTTCGATTCTTCAAAAACGAACACATCAACTGAATCAAGAACATTTTGTACAAGATACCATCATGCCAGACCTTGTCAAATGCTTTCACTATGTCAAGGAGAGCAAGATGGGTCTTTTGTCTATCATTTCTCAACGATATTGGGTTCTCAATGAGTCTCAAGACTTGTAGTTCAGTTGAGTGGCCAGTTCTGAAACCGAACTGCTCATCTGGTATCAGCTCGTTGTCGTCGATAAGTTCCTGTAACCTCTGTTTCATCACTTGCTCAGTTATCTTAAATGGAGAGCATAGGAGACTGATGGAACGATAGCTCTGCGGAAGAGCAGTATCCTGGCCCTGTTTTTTAAGCATCACTACTTCGGCATGTTTCCATCTTTGAGGGGAATGTAATAGTTTCAATATGGCATTGATGATTCAACATAAGTGATGAAATTACGAGGAGTCCTTTTCAATATACTGTTTGTAATTCCATCATCACCTGGAGCCTTCCTGAATTTTTTCGCCAACTCACATGGAAGCTAACCTAATATTACCTATTGATTGTGAATCAACTTGACTGTAATCCAAGTATTCCATCAAGCAGTGAATACAGAATGTAGACTCTGTAACGGTTTCAATTTCCATAATGTTAGTAAGATATGATATTGTTGCAGAACGAAAGGATCGAGAACGTTATGGATTCTGAAATTTCCGAAAATATTGATGTGTAACATGCATCAGTTGATATTTAGAAACCTGAACTCGTAGATTAGTTCAACAAAATTCCAGGAGTTTCCATGTAAATTCCTTTTCAAAGCAATCTTAGAACTGTTAACTGATTTCCTCACCACAATATGAAATTGATATTATACATATTCGTACACTCCTACCAACACTTCCGAATTTGAATATTATTCTAGTCAAGTATTCTTATTCGGTCCAAAAATCTGCAATCCTCTTTGTTCAATGGCCCCTTTGTTGGATTTGACCTTCTTCGGTACTTCGGCTAACAAACTCTTTATATTTCATCGACGTAATGTAGAGATGGATGAATCGCACTCCTGATGTTACATTCCGAGTTTGGGCATCGTAGACACGAAAAGTTATACAGGATGGACAGAAGGAAAATCTGTGTATTCTTTCAACTTTGACAGCCTTTTTCTCGGGAAAGAATTGATTCCAGATATATGTTTATAGGAATTTCAGTCTTGAAATGAGCCAAAGAATTACTCTCTCCAATATACACTTGACATTCACGATCACTTTTTAAAGCTTTTCTGAGGGGTACTGAAAATAAGTGAATTCATTGCATGGCACTTTTAGTACATGCCACATCAGCGTTCTCTGCATTTTCATGTCCAATGAAGCTTGAAATTAGGTCCGAACATGCATGCAATCTGATATTTTGTTTCAGCTCTACAATTTCAGGAAGACGTAACTTTCCGCGAGCCCACATTTAGCTTCAAAATACAGCTGAAGGACACCACACTCAAGAATAAGAACGCTGAAAATACGGTACGCTTATCAAATTTTATGATAGTAAACATGCATGTTGAATGTCCAAGGATATTTATGAGGAAACATGAACAGAGGCTGGCTACACTGAGGAAAATCTAGTTATACAGGGTGTATCTAAATAACACCGATGAAAATCAAGGAGTGTTTCCTTGTCAGATTCTAGTAATTGAAGTTCATCTGAACATGTGTCAAACTTGCTTCGTTTCTGAGATACAGGATGTTGAAGTCGGAAGTATCAATTGTTTTTGTTTATAACCCCCCTGTAAAAGCTTTCATGGTGCCAAAATTCAGTATGGATGGAGACTGAGGAAGCCCTAAAATTTCGAAATAATTCTAATTGTTTCTCTCTTTGTGAATTCTAATTGGGGTTATTGAGTAAGTCTTGAATACACCTACATCAGAATTTGCAGTCAAATCGGATTTTTATTGTTTCCTCAAAAACTAAGCTAGTTACAAAAATCACACGAAGGATAAACAAATTGTTATTTGTGTTCAATCTGATGAAAATATGAAACTCAGGGAAAACCGACGGTGTACAATGACATTCATCATGAATATCGATGAAGTTACCCTCTGTGACGCCACTGGAAAAATTGTTTCTAATCTAATCTGATTGCTCTAGGAGAAGCTTTATCTTACTATTACCCAAACCACACAGTTTTAAAAACTAAAATAAACCCCTTAAAATCGAAAGCGCTCATATTTTGTGGTGACAATACCTTAGTACCTATCAAGGATAGAGTATATTACTTGAGATTATTGGTACCTCAATTCCAGTTGAAACTCATTGCAAAAACTTAGGTCTAGTCCTGGACAACAAATTGAGGATCGAAGAACATATATCCTCCAAACTAAGAATTGCATATGCCTCACTGAAAATGATTCATACCCAACGGCAATTCCTCTCGTGTGAAATTAAAAAAATGTCGTGTATGGTCCCTGCTTAGACAGTAATGATTCTAGACGAATTCAGGAGCTTCAAAATTCTTGTGTTCGAATGGTTCATGGAATAAGAAAATATCACCACATCTCAGGAAAATTTAAGGAAATGAAATGGCTGAATATGTACAACTGACGAACTCTACATTTTGCATGTTTCGCCCATACAATCTACACTTTCAAAACACCCCCCCCTATTTACATAACAGACTCACTTTCAGAACAGATGTTCATAATCTGAATATCCGACAAAAAACCCTTCTTCGTGTGCCGAGACATGAAAAAATTATTTATAAACGCTCGTACTCTTATGATTTGGCAGTCTGTATCAACAATCTGCACAGATTAGATCCTTCACTGCTGTCATCTTCTACCGAATCATTCAAAGTCAAATATAAAAAGTATCTTTTGTCCACGCAGAAATGATCTTACAAATCAACTGATCTATGTTGTTACTCACTTTCCCTATCTTTTTCCTTGTTTCCTTCTCGCTCTCTACTTTTTTCCTCTCCCTCTTGGTTCCTATCATTTTCTTTCAAAATATCGTTTCTTCACATATAAATTATCATTTGCTTCTGAAATTTCTTTCTCCAATTTCACTGGCACTGGTGGAAGAACAGGGGTGGATTAGTCCACAACTGTACCAGTTATAGCCATTTATCCACTTGAATTCTGTTATATTACGTACCCTGTATGTATATATTTTGTGGATAATAAATGTATTATTATTATTATTATTATAATTATTATCACATTGATAGACAAAAGATTTCTCATGGAAATATTGATAGCCTGTATCTCGAAAACAAAGTAAGTTAGGAGACATATTTATATGCATTTTATTACCTAGAAGATCAAAAGGAATCACCCCTTGGATTTTTCCGGTGTTATTTAGATACACCCTGTATATGCTTCCATCAAAAGATACAAAATTATAGCTGCTTTTCAAGATAATCCTTACACAAACAATATTCGGAGTCTGTCTTTTAACACCAGAGAAGTCTTAATTGAAAATATAATTTCAAGATACCAGTGTTGAAAGTGATTCACTTATAATACTAGCGCTGAAAATGCAACAGTATATTCATTTTTGAATACTGTCTGTAGGTTAATCGAGGAGGTGTTAACATGAATTTCACTTAATTATTTGGGATTTTTTCTCCTCGTTACCAAATTTTTTTATCAGGGAGCATAAAATAAAAATCCAATAGCTCGTCAGTGACACTTTGTTTGGAAAAAAGTTTGAAGAGAAGAAGTACAGATATATTGAAAAAATATTGAATTTTCACATATCTTTGGAAGTTTCGGGGACAAATTTGCTGCCGTTCTCAACATGAAAATAAAAAATATTTTCCTCCGAAAATTTTGTTCAAGTTTGACACTTCTCAGTATGACACTGTGAAACTATATATATTATGATTTGATGACTTCAATTTCATTATTCTTGATGTGAAATATCGATGATTCTTGATATTCTGTTTCGTTATGCATTTTCGCGGATTGGAAGAAGTTGAGGCGGTATTCAAACCATACTGCACTGTAATACGATTGAATCGGATTCATTTCTGGAGAAGATGCAGATCCTGGCTTTCAGAGCAGCATAAATTCCGACAACAACAACATAAGCATTTTCGAATAATGTGTGAGATTTTGTGAAATCGTCAGTTCTTATCGATGCTCCTACAATCATGTGCTTGTGAAATTATGAATCCTCAATTCAGATGCATTGTCTTAGTCAATATCTTGGAACTGTTTCGTGATTTTTTTCGATATGTCAATTCCAGTGGCCGGGAAGGGGTACTCTTGAATTATTCAATACTATAAAGAGTCGCTGATATGTATCGAAACAGGTGAATATATCGGTAACCTGTTGTTGGGATTTGTTTCAATTTATGTACTGTGTGATTCCAAAATGTGGCGAATTTGAATATTTTATAGCCAATATTGCCACTTTTTCACTTATTCCGGATTTTTTATCAACTTCCTTATTTCGAAAGGAGCACCTTGTACTTCATTGGATTCCTAGATTCTTCTTGAAAAGCTAATTCCATCGATCTTGGGGTCTAGCGGGAATAATTTCATAGGTAAATTGGTAAATATAGTGTTTGAAATTTAGATTTTTCAACTTTAGGAGTTTTTTGTGTCGAAACTATTCATTATCGATAAAAAACGCTCCAATGTTCCTACCTTCACTTCTGATTTACCCTCTACTGACATTTGATTGAAACAAATACAGGATGGTTCAAGATCCAGAATTCTGACCATCCTCTGTATCTGTTCAAATGTCAGAAGATAGTAAATCAAAAGTGAAGAAAAAAACATTTTGGAGTCGTTTTGATCGACAATGGATAGTTTCGACAAAGAAAAATCCTAAATTTGAAAAATCCAGATTGTTAACACTCCATACCTATGTAATCATTTCCGCTAGACCCCAAGTGTAATGAATCGATAGAATCAGCTCTTCAAGAAGAATCGGGAAATTCAATAAAGTACAGCGTGTTTCATTCAAAATTAAGAAGTTCCGGAATGATTGGAGAAGTGGCAACATTGGCTAAAGCATTTTCGAATTTGTCACGTTTTCAAATCACATTGTACAAAGATTCAAAAGAATCTAACAACAGGTAACCGAGATATTGACATGTTTCCATACATATCAGCGACCCTGTATAAGCGTAGTATTGAAGAAACGGTGATATGCGCAATTGTTTCGAAAGATTCTCCTAGAAGAACTGATAACTTTCAACATTGGTCATTCAAATATAGTGAGCCAAACGTAGTTTTATCAGAATGGAGATTGATCTCATCAAGAGTTTATTAATCCTGCCATTTTCGATACTCATTAAAGTCTAGTAACTTTGTCGCCTGAACATAAATGGGGGTATTATGCGTCAAATCCGGTAGTTCTGATTTTTTTTCAGAATTGTTCATGATGGTGGCCTAATGAATGATCCAAGTTTGTGACCTCGAGCACCGAACGCAACTTTGTCAAAAATCGAAAGAATCGCGAGAAAATCGTATTTTTTTGAATTTTGGCGATTATAACCCAGAAGGACTAGTTTTTGAAAAAAAAGCTCCCAGGACGATTCTACAGCAGATCAAATTTGTCTAAATATGATACAAAAACTGTCTCTGTAGATTCAATATTTTTCGAGATTTTTTGCAATGTTTTAGGCGTCACTCGAATATACTCAAGCGGTATGAAGTTTCAATTTCCCCCGACGGAGTGTGCTAGTACTGTTCGTGTGGAGTCACGAATGCCAACCACCTGTAGCACGTTTTCAAACTTTTTAGGCAATTTTAACCACGGGACTCTCTAGCTGGCAAGATGGCGCCTGGTTGTAGGGCCATCACATAAAATAAGTATTGATTTTCTCTAAGGTACCTGCTACACATCCTTTGGTTTTTCATGATTGATTCTGTTGTTAGATCCTTTCTCTCGAAGGCTGCTATCCACATTTCTCTTCTTATTCTTGATAGATCTTTTATATTTGGATAATGCACAGACTTTTTCACATGATCACAGTAGGAATGTGAAAAAACTGAGCAAATTTTCCCGATCTGGACGGCTTTTACTATCCACCACAATACACGTTACCCGCATTTTTCCAATCTGGCCAGGTTACCTCCTACACGAGACTCTGCTCGATCTCACTCTTTGAGGACATATTATCAGGTGAAAATTTGTCCTTGCATCAGTAATTCATATAACATAATTATTATCTTTCATCATTTTCTATTCTCATGTACAATCTCCTAACAGGTACAGTTGTGGTTGGGAATCACACTGAACCCTCTCTCCTGGGGGTGGATATCCACGCCACGAGGCCTCAATCCCAAAATGATGACCACAGATGCAGCCCCACAACACCTCTTGCGGATGATTTCTTGCGGCTGCACGATGGGTTGTGGAAACGCGTGCAGCTGCAGAAAGTCAGGATTTGAATGCTCATCAGTCTGCAGGCACTGCAGTGGTGCCTCTTGTGACAATGTACCTGATGTTGTAGTAGTTGATATCCCAGAAGGCGACGATCTGTTCGATGTTGGAATGGAGGATGACTTGTGGGCAAAAGACGTCGACGATTCATCACCATCCCCTGATGGGGATATGCCATCCCGATACGTCGATCCAGATCCAGACGAACCTCAACCGGGACCTTCCAAGAGGGCTAAATTAATCTAATTTTTTGATCTTTAATATTACTCTATTTCCTAACGAATAAACTCATTAGCTTTTGTGGTACTCATCTTTTTTATTTCATTATTCGTAGCTCAGCTTGAACATTCTCGTTCACACTCTTTCTTATCATATCATCATGAAAGTACAGGGCTCTGATTGTATAATCAGCGTCAAAATTCATCAGAACGACAGGATTACAAAAAAATGCGAAGTTCGAAAAAAATGGTGAACTTTGAAAGGCTCAATCTCGGTAACTAACGAGTCTACAGAGACAGTTTTTGAATCATATTGTAGCAAATTTGGTCTACTTTAAAAACGTTCTGGAGTTTGAAAAAACTAGTCCTTTAGGGTTATAATCGCCAAAAACGATTTTTTCGCAGTTTTTTCGATTTTTGACAAAGTCGCGTTCGGCGCTCAAGGTCACAAACTTGGATTATTCATTAGGTCCACATCATGAACAAGTCTGCAAATAATCAGAACTACCGGATTTGACGCATACTGTGATGTATGAAGTTACTGGATTATTAAGAAAATTCGAAAATGAGTGATGAAAATCATGCAAAATCATATCTTTCTTCTCTTTCGATAAATACATTGTCATTAGCTCTGTCCTTATTCTTATGGGCCTCGAGATATCCTACATATTGATTGTAAATATTTTTCAGGCACAATTACCAGTGACCTTGGTATTCTCAGGTTCACCGCAATCTCTCACGATGCTCAGGCTGTATCCAAAAAGTGTGGTCAAGATATTCAAGTATAATTAATTGGAAATAAGTCTGAAGGCCCTCGATAAATTATCAGTTGTTGTTTCAGAACTGCTGCACCATTAGCTAGAGTAACACAACCGATAGATATAAGAAATTGCACAGATTTCAAAATGACCGAATCCATGCAAATGATGACTGGAGTTGAGAAGAATCCAAAGAAGGGACAAATCTTCAATGTGACTAACGAAGGGATCATATTCATACACGATTTTATCATGTTGAGGAAAATATCATCTGAATTTGTCAGGTATATGAGTGAAGTACTCTCAGGTCAATATTTTGATACAAGAAGGAAATTGAACTGTGAACTAACTCAGACTGCTTTTATATGAATGAAACTCATTCATGTATAGATCCGAAACGATCAGATTATCCAAGTGAATTTTCAATATCTGACAGGATATCGAGTATCCATAATACCACAGTTATGTCCCATGGATATCCTCAGGACGTCCTATCGGGACATTCAGGACGTCTATAGGACGTTCGAATTTGGTATATGGATGGATGTCCCTAAAGGAACGTTCAAAATCACATCCCATAATAAGGGACATGCCAAGGACGTCCTTGCATAGACATTCCACAATATGTATCACGTGGGACGTCTGAGGGATGCTATTTATAGAACATTTGAAATGATGCTCCAGCTGGGACATTCCGTGGACGTCCTTGCTCGGACATTGCATGAGATGTACGGGATGGGACGTCCCAAGGACACTTATTTGTGGTCCGAAACATTCGGACTTGTACCAAATAGGGACGTCCCTAGGACGTTGTGTGCTGTTAGGGATAAGAATGAACTCGATGAATGAGGTTTCAATCATATCAAGACAAGCGAATTTGAACATCCAATAATTTTTTTTAGATATGTTGTGGTATTTGAGCAGACTATTCATGGCTCAATCATCTTCTATTTGGTTAAAGGAGGTTCAAAATGACTGACCCTGATGATAACTATTTTCTTTATTCATTGGCGTGTGAAAAATAGATGTTGAAGTTTTTGTAGGCATCATTAATCATCTCGAGATTGATTGACTATCATGGTACTCTGGAAACCAGCAAATACATGATGATTTAGCTAAAGTTGCTTATTTATTGAGGTTTTTTCAGCAAAATAATTTGAAAGGATGGGAATATAAGAAGTTATGGTACATAATATGAACCATGATTTTGAACATCTTCATCTGATGAGGAATTTTTCAACAGCATTTCGACGCACTCATGATTATCATTATAGTATTATTATATTTCTTTCGTGGAAAACCAATTTTTAATGCAATCTGTGAGATTCGTAGTAGTTTAGTGTCACAGAGTTGAACTAGGGGTTTCAGTAAGTCGAATTGCTGTTGAAATTCGCAAAAATTTATAAAATGAGAGATTATAATAATTCATTTTTTCCTATCGTAATCTGATAAGACTGTATAATGGTTCCCGACAGATAGAATGTTTATATTTCAGAAAGAGAATCTTCTTGCACTTCACTTACACAAGTCTGTCTTTCAGTATCAACGTTTCTTGGTCGAGGAACAACCGTAAAGAACATGACGAGATTCAAGTTAGAATAGTTATCGAGCCTAATCAGACGTGCAATAATATAAAGTCACTCAGAGGTTGGACTTCCTGTGCTGAGTACGAAACGTCACACGACTGTCTACAGAGAGATTCGTGTGCATATGGAACAGGAGGATCTTCCAGTGTAGAATTCAGGTACTGTATGTGAAGGAACATTGGGTAGCAACTCCTATTGAAAACTCTTAGGTGAACCAGGATGCGTAAAGCCATTCCCCTGTTCAGCACAGAGCGTACCGTCCGACATAGTGCTCTGAAAAGCACTGGACTTTGTTCATGATCAATTTCACGCCTTCACAACAAACCCCAGTACGTTTCAGAGCAGCATCGCTCATTGCTATATACCTAAATGCTACAAAGCTCCACGCAGAAATTATGCACTACCTCCTCGCATGAAATATATGTTTTTTCCTTGTTATACCAACTCAGATATGCAATTTAGTATGTACGTATATGCGTAAGCGGCCTGAATAATCAATTGAACTCGAATTCGAGATCTGAACTTTTCAGATAATAGGGTATACGCGTGTGAAAATTTTACACTGGAATATATTTTTGTTCCATTACTCATATGTATAGATGTCAAATTATACATCCGAAAAACATTATCAAGCACCGAATATTCAATCATTTCAGATTGAAAATCATAATATTTGCAACTTTCCGACCAACAGCCGAACTGCAGCGATGATTTCCGACTGGATGTGGCTGTTTTTATTTGTCATGTCAAACATTCATGTCCGAAAGATTGAAAATAATATAAGAAGAGAAAGTGAGGTTATGATTATCTGAGCTTGTAGTTTCTATAACTATAATCTATCTCAATTATATGATCTCAATATTCTGAATAATAATAACTGAATAATAAGCAAATATCTACAACAAGAATGATCAAACAGGACTTCTTTTTGCATGTTGTTTCAAATATATATTACCACCTATCAATTTATATCTCATATAGTTTTCCATATCTTCTTCAAGCTGAAAACGAAATCACATATTATATTATTCACCTAATAACATGAGGTACATAATCACTCGATCCCACTGGCAATGGAAGGAATATTTTTCCTGGTGATACTTCTGTTGATGAAAGGCATTGCGGCACTAAACAGTATTTGGTATAAACATTATCATTTTCCATTTTCAAATTTCAAATTTCTGGCGTTTAAAACTGTTTTCTTCTCCTACCTTTTCTTCTTTTTTTTTTTCAAACTGAATCTTGTCATTCTGTCGCGCTAGTCTATGGCTGTGCGGCCTAATACTATGACGTCATAATATTAGTGATGGCCACTAACCCGTATTCCTGTGACTTCATATTAAGCCTCATTTAAATGAAATTTTTCAGAGTCACAAGCAAATTTGAGATTAATAAATGATATCCAATGTTATTATAAGGAAGAAGGAATATAATTTCGATTAAACAAAAAATCATGCGTATTCCTTATTGTAACTACCGTTATATATGAAAAATACTACTAACACTAACCTTCGCCATTCTGATCAACTGTGTTGAAATCATTCAACAAGCAATTCATATCATTCAAATCAATTTTATGAAAAATCTGGTTTGTTACAAACGCGCGAAACGTTTGTAGTTCAAGTCTCAGACGAGGATTTCGGTTCGCGAGATTGGAATATATGTTGTACATACTTTCTCCATGACTATCTCGTACTGATAAAAACAAAATATCAGAACGTCAAACTCAATGATGAATTCATTATATTTGTATGTTTGACGTTATCGCAACCATGCGAAGTTGAACCTGACATTTCCTATTCTATAGTATGGTGCTGTTTGCAATGATTCTAAACTGCTTGCTGAATCATTTCAATACAGTTGATGATAGAAATGACATTATTTTATATTCCATTTTATCCAAAAGTTGTTATCGAATTCACTTTTCTGTGTGTATGAGTATGATGAGTATGATTTCAATAGTTATTTATGCAACAAGTGCAAAAAGTGAATGTTTATTGCATTCGACGTGAAATTGTCCGACGAGGCCGTTAGGCCGAGTTGGGAGGTAAAAAAGGGGTAGGTGTTTGGAAAGAAACTAATGCTTGTGAATAACCATCCTTAACATTCCTCCTATTCCAACGAGGACTAGTGTCAAAAAAATGCAACTGTTTGCTCTGGAATGCACTGGGGTTTGTTGTGTCGGCGTGAAATAAATCATAAACAAAGTCCAGTGCGTCTCAGAGCACTATATCGGACGGTGTGCTCTGTACTGTACGGGGAAATGGCTATACGCAACCAGGATACCTACTGGTACTGGTACTGATGAGGGACTTTTGCACGTCAGCAACTAGTCCCTAATGGGACCTTTCTGCAAGCCCCAAGGTGTTTTTGATGAGTGATGTGGTTTGCTTGAGAGAGCTGGCTAACATCCTTGTCAGGCATCCCCCATTAGCTCTCTTTCAGAGTTTTTCGGCTGTGTTTTGTAGGCTAGTAATGTACTCACTACCATATGCTGCAGTGGCAGGCCAGCTAGCTATTCTCGTTAACCCCTGTTAGAGACCGAGGTCCACTAAGCAGCATTGGCCCGCTCTCACGCTCAGCTGGTAGTTTTCCACACCCACCTACAAACACCGTCCTACTTCTTCTCTGATGCTCACAACCACATATTCATCTTTTTCTGCGTGTTCTGTGTAGGCTTTGTTGCTAAATCCATGCGCCACTTTAGGAGCAGCACTGTTAATTATAACGAAACAGTGATTCGTTTCAATATTTAATTTGTGAATAAAAAAGTGCCTTGCTCGTGATGGGAATCGAACCCACGATACCTAAGTGAAACCACTGATTTCATAATCTCTATACTATGAACTGAATTAACTCAGAAAACTGACTCCATATTTCAGCCTTAGATAATAGGGCTCAAGACACTTCCACTTATTTGTTTTCTGTGAAACTACGCAACACTAATTCCGTCGTACCCAAACATTTTGCCTCTGTTGAAATATGAATAACTTTTTTCCTGCTTTGAACGATTTGAATTCGGATCACACTGTTCGCTAGCCCAGTCCTTTAGCTTTAATCTCGTAGTTCCTCAAAACATAAGGTTATCCACATAATATCGCTACAGGGTGTTACCTGAAACTATGCAAAATTTCGGAAATTTCAAAAGTACCCAAAATGAAAATGATTTTTTTTTACAAATTTGACAGTAGAGGCATCTGGATGATCTCAATATCTTGGGGCAGTTCCAGTTTTGTCTCCTTATCTCTTTTATTTACAGAGTGACCTCAAAAAATTACCTTTTTGGTTTTGCATTCATAACTTATTTCCTCGTCAACCGATTTTTGAAATATCAGGCTCATTTTGAAGCTGGAACTCCAGATGGAGAGATGTGAAGATCAGAATTGATTGAAGAGGAACATCATGCAGTATAACTCCCTTCTAATGGAAGCACCCCTGTATCTTTCGTAATTGTTGAGTTAGGATTCTGAAATTTGCAAGAGCGGTAGATATACTGAAAACACACACTATGACCAAGTGGAGTCGTCTCCAGTGATATACACTGCTCGCCAACAGCCATGGAGCCACCCACAAATATGATATAAGGAGGCAAGATATGTTGAAAATGACTTCGGATTCAAAATCAGGAGATCCCTTTGGCGCTCCCCTGCAAATTTCAGAACCCTATCTCAATAATTACGTGAGATACGGGGGTGCTTCCATGAGAAATGAGACAAAATTTGAATTTCCTGAACTGTAAATTCACCAGGAAAAATATGTATAGTCAGTGAAATTGGACGTCCTGATTTCGATTTCGGTGCTTCCATTATAGAAGTGAGACACACTGTATAATGTTCATCTTGAGTCAATTCTGTTCTCCATATCTCTCTATGGACTTTCAGCTTCAAAATAAGATTTCAAAAACGGGTTGACAAGAAGAGAAATTATGACTGCAAAACCAGAAAGTTAATTTTTTGAGATCACTCTGTAAATGAAAGAGATATTAAGCAAATTGGAAAAATGTCCCTAGGTGATGAGATCATCTTCATGCCTCTGCTGCCGAAGTTGAAAATAAGAAGTTCCTGTTCATTTGGGATCCTTCCGAAAATTCCGGAATTTTTTACAGTTCCAGGTGACATCCTGTAGCGATTTCATATGAAGAACCTCATGTTCGAAAAAAACCGAGATTTCAGCTGAAGGACTGGGCTAGCGACCAGTGTACTTAATCCGAATTCATATTGTTCCAAGCAGTTTAGTCCAGAGATTTCCGGTTGGAATACATCGTTGTTGAAATAAAATGAATAAACCTCTATATTGACATCGTGATCAACACTTCTCGAAACAATGTTTATATCTTACGATGATTTTTTTTCATGAAATCTCACAGAAGAGGGCCAGAGAGATGTATGTGGAGAGGAGACGTAACTTCTCCTACCATAACTCATGTGTATTCTACATGTAGCCCAGATATACATACATGTCCGGATGGAGTTTGTGATTCTCTGGAACAGTTACATTATGCAATATGTCCTCAAGATTGTACAGGTACGTAAGAATATATCTGTGAGATTTCGAACTAGACACTTTATTTTACTCAACACTTTCTGATTCTGGTGACCATTCTGAATATGATTACGTAGGTTATAAATGAATCAACTCACTCTATGTCTCAAAATCATTTCAATTTTTTACATCTCTAATGTAATTAGGTCTGCTCTTCTTCTTGAGTGAGATTCAAGTGAGATTCTCTTGTCACAACTTCGTGACAACATTCAAGTTTGTCTTCAAAATTGAAAATTGAAAATATAAATATATAGAGAGTGTTCCATTCCAGATTATGAAGTTAGGGTCATTTTCGATAGAACCGAAAGTTTTAGACCCGCATTGTGCCTTTCCGCAGGTAGTTTTTTATCCTTCAGGTTCGGAAAGTTCCTAAGTATGTTCAAGAAGTATGAAGTATGTGAAGATTTTTTACGGAAGCCGAAAGTAATTGGAAGGTATGGGAGTCTTGAAATAGTGGAATAATATTCAGCCATATAAAAAAAGATGAGTTACCACTGGCACTGGTTAGGCTGATGAAGTGTTTTGACGTTTTGATTATTGAGCATGCAAAAAAAATTTAGGCATTCACATTGGCCTGCGATACTGACTATACTAACTGTATATTTTCAGGATAACAATTCAAACTCGTATGACACGTATGACACAACTTTACTGTATCACTGTCACTTCTGCAATCTGATTCACATTCTTCAACGGTTACATTTATATAACAATTCTGACTTATATCTCTCGATAAATTCGATTATACTATACAGGGTGGTTCAAGTGAAGTGGTTCTATGAATGATCATAATCATACCTTATGAATATGATATCACTAATGATAGTAATACTGATAAAATTGATTCGAAACTGAAATTAATCATTGGAGCAATATCGGCAGCAGGTTTACAAAGAGCACTCCTAGAAGAGAAGATGCTCTTTCACAGCTGATAAAGCCAATGCTTGGGTGCAGAAATCATTGCAGCTAGCTCGAGAAAATCAATTATCCGATGTTTTCCTTGCCATTTCAGATTCAAAATCGTTCTGCTAGGGATTGAAACAGGTCTTCTTCGTTTGAGTGCATATACTCCCTGAGTTAAACAATTTGGCATGAATAAAGTGTCATATTGAAGTAAATCTCAGAGTACCACAAGTTGTAGGTCCGTGTTTTGCACAACAGCTACTCCTGTATATTGAACATATAATTGACCAGGCCAAAGATACAATTGTTGGAGGTTATTGTGCTAGGGCTGCATAACATATCAATTTTCACCATGTTGCAGCTCTGGTGTCTCAAGATATGTCTAGTTCTGAATTACATTTCACTAATCTAAATAACATAATATCATACTTTCTGAAGTACAATTGACTAATCTGAATTACAATTGATGCTGTCTGAATTACAATTTACTATTGTGAAATACGAGTTATACCTTCTGAATCACATTTTACTAATCTGAATCACAAGTTATACTTCCAGAATTACGATTGAAAAAGGTTTAGTACCTACACAACTCTTCAAATCGACTTATATTCAAACATTCACTCATATCTGCATTTTCAGCTAACGTTGTCGTACCTTTGAAAATCAATCCAGCTACTGGCCGTGGGGTGGATGAATCTAGTGGTACTGTTGCGTGTTCACCAACGAACTGCTATTCGATGAAGTCCAGGAAGGGTTACGATAAAGATAAAAAGGACCTCAAGAAGAAGAAAGGGAAATCATCTGGGATGTCCTCCACACCCGCCAACAATATATTCGCTCATTCAAATATCACCAAGGAGAATGGAAATATAACTACTGGGAAATATAGTGAGTTTTTCCATTATACACAGAAGGTACCTGATAACTGTCTCACTCACGATTGTTTCGTTCTTCGAAACACCTTGTTCACTATATGTCCTATCTCATCTACTTTTTGGATTATATAGGTTGAGCCATGTACCCTGTATATGTCGAAGTTTTATCTATTTTTTCTGATTCCATAGTCTCAGATATTATGATTCGGAAATGGATGCAGTACCTAATAACCTCGAAATTCTGCCAGAAACCTCCTTTTTTTGTTAACAATGTTACTAATTCTCTGGTTCAGATTTCTTCAGATTTTTGAGATTCACTATCCTCGTTTCTATAAATAAACATATCAGTATCCATTCGATATCCTACCTGCCTCGAAATGTCACTGCGCCCAAACTTAATAAACAAATTCAATCGATAGTAAGTGACACCTTTTTTGAAAACTGTCAAAATAAATGAACAAAGGTTTATTGAGAAATATAGAATTCGACTCATTTTCAAACGAATCTGTTTCCATTTTCAACATCGTTTTTTTTAATCCTCATGAACAGAAATACTTTCTTTTATTAATTATTTTCATCTGAAGATTTTTTTTCTTGAGGGCTTCCTGATTCTGATGATGAAATCAGAATTTGATAAGCAAACCTCAATACCATTCAACACTCTTCAAAATGTAATAAGAATATTGGGATGCCTTGAAAATGGGGCCATTAGGAAAATTGCCTCCGAACCGTTACCTTATCAGATCTATGGTGCCTGTCCTCAAAATCGTTCTCTGACTAGCCACTAGATTCGTTTTCTTTATGAGGCCCCATAGGCTGATTTTCAGTTCCTCTGTAAATCTTCTATGAATTATTTTCATCTGAAGATTCTTCTTTTCGAGATAGCTCACTAATTCTAGTGATGAAATCAAAATTTGACAAGCAAACGTTGATACTCAATACTCTTCAAAATATAGAACGAATATTGGGATGCCTTGAAAATGGATCCATGAGGCTAATTGCCTTCGAACCACAACCTTATCAGATCTATGGTGCCTGTCCTCAAAATCGTTCTCTGACTAGCCACTAGGCACCGATTTCTCTATGAGGTTCCGTAGGCTTGTTTTCAGATCCCCCGTAAATATTTGGGTTCTTGGTGTTTAATTTCCCAGCATAACGCACCTTTGTCTTGACAAGCCCTCACAGTGGTAAGGAACCTGTATTACCTGTTCTACTTGACAAAACCTTCACGTCAGTTCGCAGTTAGTCCTCTTGTATTCATGTCTTTGATGAGCCTACAATCCTCTGTGAGAAGTATGACTCAGTAAATATTCTGTGAATATTGTCAATGTTGTGATGCAACAATAATCTGTACCTAAAATACTGTCGTGTATTTACCTAAACCCAGTGGGATTTTTGTCATAAACTGGACCCCATGTTTATCAGCTCTCCACCCTCTCTCAGTTTCGAAACCTTCCGTGGGGACAGCAATGGCTGCATTAATCATTCCAGAATTACGTCATTTGACAGTTTGCTGAGGGGCAAACATTGTATTTTGTCAAGATTCGTCATATCAAACCACAATTGGTGGGATCGTTTTCCTTGGAATCCGAGTTGGAACCAGAAAGAATTTCATAATAATTTTGTTTGGTGAAACTGTTATCATATTGTGGATGTGGCAAGGATGGCCAGGGCTATGCTCATCAAAGGTAACCTAACAGATAGTTTGTGTGCCCCTCAAGAAACCATGTCAAAATCACGTGTTCTAGAATGATCAATTGGCCTCTTTGTCCATATACTCAAGTAAAAGTTCTATCAAAGCATGATAACTTTTCAACTCTCCATATAGCTTGTCATTCTACCAGTGTGTGTTCGACCTCTCGACATTCTGCTCGCGACTGCTCTGCCTCCACCTTAATTGTACATTGTATATTCGTAATGGTGGCAAGTTCAAGAGGATTGGTAGAGCGACTGTTGAGATGGAAAGAAAAATTTAGAATTGATTAAAAACTGTGGTTTCTGTTGGAGAGATTTTGTGAATTGTTTATCATCTTTCCAGGTCTGGTGATCGGAAAATGTGGTTCAATCTGCATTATGGGTATTGGAGCTGGTGCCCTATTTCTAGCAGCAGCTATCGCGTTCATCGTCGTCTGTTGGAGGCTGGATAAGACCAGCAAAGCTGTCAGAAAAAACAACGACGGGAACAACCAAGAAATGACCGCTCCACTTTCTATCTCTGCCCCAGGCAACGTTCCACACGAACCGTTCTCTCTGAACTTCAACATGACAACCCTAATGAACGACTCTCTGATCTTCAATAACATCATGAAGTTTTCGGTAAATAGCCTTCATAACACACTAACTTATATTTCTAGCTGAATACTCCCTGAGCACAGTATATTATTCTAAACGAGACAGTGAGTTCACTTGGCATCCGTACCTTTAATCTCCTTGGAAAACGTTTGATATTCTTTCAGTGTCGATAGGACTTGTTTTCAAATTAATTTGTGAGGAAAAATTGAAAAATCAATGAATGGGTGAATCTAGGCTCAATAATCATAAAACAAATTGAAGGAGACAATAAAATGAGACTAAATCCTAATAAAATAGCAGATTATATATTTCAAAATATATTATATGGCAAAATATTTTGATAATTTCATCAGTATCGATTTGACTATTACGATGAATACTCATTGGGGCTAAACTTGTTGTACACTCATCATCTTCTGATATGCCTAGGCAGCAATATCTATGCAGCAATGCACACGCACTTACCAGTGAGGGTAGGGAGTGGGACGTACTTTTATTTTATAGGACGTCATTTTTTTTCATGTTCTGGTTCTCACGAAAAGGGATATCCTGTAATGTTCAGAGAACATCGTGAGAACCAAGAGAAAAGAGGTGGGAATTGATGTTCTCCTTGAATTTCTGGAGGATGAACGAGTCTTTGGAAAGAGATCTTCAGCAGGTCTCCAAAGTGACCACGAAGGGGTGCGAAGCCTCAACTCGACGGGTTAATCTCTCGGGGACTGCCAAGGGAGGAACGATAGTTGATATTTCAGAAGAGCATCATCCATGAAAATATCAATTGAATAGAGCCAGATAGCCAACTTTTCTACGGTGTTCCATAGAAGTGAGTGAGTTTATGAGCGAGGCATGACCCACGAGACGAATGGCCCTTTTTCGGACCGAATTTAATAGTTTCAGGGTATGTTTGGGTGCTGCACTCCAAATATGGGAACAGTATTTCAGGACAGGTCGGATCTTTGCCTAATAGATCATGAACAGCTGACTGGAAGTGAAATAGCTCCTGGCCCGAGACAGCAAACCAATAATAACGGTTGTCGCCGCTGTTGCCAGCGTTGTATAAATTTCCTGATGTGCGAGCGTACATCCAATTTGGAAATTTTTTGAATTCACTAGGTTACTTTCTCATCACCTGGAATTTCGGAGGGAGGGGGGTGGCTTTCCCCATGGCTACGCCACTGAGTCCACAAACATACGATGACGTTTTTTGATTTTATTTTTTAAGAGAAAATAGACATGAATGCATATTGAAATAGGAATTAAAAAGTGCTAATTATTAGTACGCACATTCCAACTGGCCTCTTACAATAATTGCACCAATCACATATAGAACAAATACTACACCATATCTGCTACACCAATGCAATTCCAACTACGATGCAACAAACACTGATTCGAAGTCTTAGGATATTCCTGATGTAAATATAGTGCTCTGAGCCTCTCCGTACATTCATCAAACTCAATTATGCTACTGCGCATCGACCTTGAGTTTTAATGAGTGGCGATGGTTGCCAGATTTCTATGGGAGTGAACTAACTGTCTCGTTCAGGAAAATATGCTGTGCTCAGCTCAGACTGAGGAAATATTTCTCAAATTGTGAATAAAATGCATCCTTCATATAGGAGTAAACTTGACGTAGAAATCATTTCATCGTGTATAATTAAAAATAATTGTACCTGCGATTATTATTGATATACAGGGTGTTTCTTAAGTACGTGTAGAAAATCCAGGAGCATGTTGCTGATGTCAAAATAAGAAAAAGAGTTCGTATAGATATATGTCCGAAAGTTATTCGTTTTTGAGATACAGAGTGTCAATACATTTAAAAATAATTGTGATATTCGAATGAAGTTTGGTATCCCGGGGTATTTTTCAATGACAATATCAAATTTTATGTTAGTTTATCTTTTCCATGGGGGTGGCGCCACCTACATGTCTGTTGTAGGACACTTTTGCGTCAAAAATATGTTCCTGGTAGAGGTCGCTGCGAGCAACTGTTTTCGAGTTATTGGGATTTGAAATAATTGATGCATTTGAAATATATCCATGGGGCTCGTGAGTCGCCTCTAAGTAGTGAATATCAGAAAAAATACGCCAGTGCATTTTTCTTCTTTCATTCAATATTCTCCTGCATTCAACATTGGAATGTATAGGCGAAATATGATTCTTACTTCTCTCTACCTACTTTTTTGGACTTTCCCAATTTGAAAAAAATAACAATCAATCCGTTCTTGTGACAGTGAAGTTTGTTGCCGTCTGTACTTGTGGTCCAAGCTATATCAAATTTCAGCACACATGAATAGCGAAATGGCTTATATGATATACGTATACGCCCTTGTCGATGGGAATTGCTACGAAGCTAGACGTATTTATAATGAAAGATTTCCTGATCATCGACTGCCGAATCACCAGACATTCAGAAACCTTTTTCACTGGTATTAATTTGGTCTCAATTACTGTTATTATTATTAGTGTTGAATTGTAATAACACCCGATTCCTATTTTGAAAGCAAATTAATAAAAAATAATTTCCCTTACTCAATGATTCAATTTTGAATTCCTTCTTGTCATTCCAAATTACTTGCATCGATTATTTCAAATTCCAATAACTCGAAAACAGTTGCTCGCAGCGACCTCTACCAGGCAAATATTTTTCACACAGAAGTGTTCTTAAAATGTATTCCTCAACAATAAAACGTGATACAGGTACGCATGGAAAAGTTATGACTTTTCAAAAGAATCAAAAGATATGTAGGTGGCGCCACTTCCACGAAAGAGACAAACTAACATAAAATTTGATATTGTCATTGAAAAATACGCCTAGATACCGAATTTCATCCGAATATCACAATCATTTTGAAATTGACTAACAAAAAACGAAAACAAGAATTTAACTCTAACACTCTGTATCTCAGAAACGAATAACTTTCGGACATATATTTATACAAAATCTTCTTCTCATTTTGACGTCAGCAATATGCTCCTGAATTTTCCACACGTACCTAAAACACACCCTGTATACAGGGTGTATCAGTTTTTTGTGGCAGAACTTTAACAGCTTGAAGAACACAATTTTTCAAGATGAAAATTTCATGCAAACATATATGCGTGGGAGCTTCGTTTCCGATTCACAGGGTGTCAAAGTTTCGGATTTTTTTTATGTTTTTTGAATTTTCTCCTACAATTTTCGGAATAATTGATTGAAATTTGGTACACCTGATACACTTCAAAAACTCAATATTCGAGGCTATTGAGCGTTTTTGAATACCTACAGGGCCGTACCCAATTCAACCCTGTAGAACTTTTTTGCATGCCGTCTCTGCTTTCAATGGGACATAGATTCAGATTGTCCTTTCAATTCGTAAACTTATTGCCGCCATGTGAATTTTTCGAAAACTGTATGGATCTCGATATAAATGCCAAAATTAAATTACTTGTGATAAAACCGTTTTCTCAAACACACTTATTTGACATTTCTTAAACATTTTATTGGAAAATAGAATGACCGAAAGCTTCCATACCAAATGAAATTCAGTTGCAAGATTGAATTGAATTTTTTGAACACCATTTATAATTAAAACTAGAAAAAACAAAACATGAAAAATTCTGAAACTTTGACACCCTGTAAATCGGAAACAAAGCTCCCACGCATATATGTTTGTATGAGATTTTCATCTTGAAAAAATGTCTTCTCCAAGCTGTTAAAGTCCTACTACAAAAAATTGAAACACCCTGTATATATCCTATATAAACAACACTGTTTCCTGGGATGATAAAGGCAATCGAGATAAATGGGAAAATTAAAAAATAATACATGAATCTAACGTGATAGGACTACGTCGAGAGATTTGGGCTCTCGTTTTGATATTGTCATTGGAAAATACGCCTAGATACCAAACTCCATTCGAATATCACAATCATTTTGAAATTGACTAACAAAAACAAGAATTTAACTCTAACACTCTGTATCTCAGAAACGAATATCTATCGGACATATATTTATACAAACTTATCTTCTCATTTTGACGTCAGCAATATGCTCCTGAATTTTCTACACGTAATTAAGAAACACCCTGTATATATCCCATAAACAACACTGTTTCCTGGGATAATGAAGCCAATCGAGATTTATGTAGAAGGGAAAGAGTAATACATGAATCTGAAGTCGAGAGATTTGGGCTCTCGTTTCAGGAGAATGTCATTAGCTTCAGATTTCGTACTGTCATCTCAATGTTATTTTGTGTATCATATTATATATCAAGGTACAAGGTGTTATACTTGAAATCACATTCATTATATCATAATGTTCTCATTATGTTCATATGGAAGTTTCATTTGTAGCCGGATCCGAAGTGGGAGTTCCCCAGGTCTCAATTAGCCATAGAGCAAATTCTGGGAGAAGGAGAATTTGGAAGGGTATTGAGAGCGAAAGCGTTAAATATATCGGGACCAACAGGTACGTATGAATATGGAATATAAACAGTTTTCAAATTTTTCATGAATCTTCATACATAATTTACGCAAGGCATTTTTTAAGAGGATGTAGAATTCATTGAAATGGACAAATCCACCAAATATCACCTCTATCAAAGTTGCATTATCACGGAGATATTATCAATTCATTATTCCATGAATTCTAAAAGGATGGAGACGTTTTTTTTTCTCGGGTGCATTTTCATCAAATTAATTTGACACTAAATACTGTCTGTAGGATAATCGAGGAGGTGGTATATTCATTATTCCAAATTTTTTGATGATGACAATTGAAATGATTCAAATCATTTTTATTTTCGAACTAGTGCAATTGAGAAATATTTTGACACAAGACGATGACGTAAACGGTTAATCTTGAGATAAATTAGATCTGACATCACTATATAAACTTAAAATATGTTGTTTTATTCAATTTGTCCTATATAAATTGAAAATTTCGAAATTGAGTTTCAATGAAATCAATTTATTACATAATCATGGACCAAGACAATCAAATTTACTAATAGTAAATACGTTCAAGTCAAATATCGGCAAACAATCTATTTTTCACACAGGAATCGTTCTATACAACTCATTACCAAGTCAATTGAGGAATATACAGGGAGGAACTAGATTCAATATTACCTTGAAAAAATATCTAAAATTGTTCTTAAATTAAACTCATTACCAAGTCAATTGAGGAATATACAGGGAGCAACTAGATTCAATATTACCTTGAAAAAATATCTGCTTCAGAGACTATGATAATTCCATTTCTTATTTGACTACCTACTTATGAAAGACAAGGTTGATATTGCATGATTATTTGCATTTTTTTTACTTGTTATATCTTATTTTGATTTCATAATTGTATGTATAACATTATGTATATTGTTTATGTATCCCTATTAAAAACTACTATGTTTCTTGGGGTAATAAATACAATCAATCAATAAATATTCGAACAAGAAGGAACTGAAAAAGAAAAAAAACGAACGTTTTATTCTTTTGGAGGGCTTATATTCATTTTGATGACGAGTATATCCTGGGAAATGAATGTATTCAGAAATAATGAAAAAATGAAATTATAGCTTATACCAGTGATATCCGAGAATATTACAATTCTGACGAAATAATCGTTCTATAGAAAAAAAATTGCTTGAATTACAGCAAATAGATAACAATCAATTAGTAGGAATACGAGAAAATAGTTATTTTTGTATCTATAGCACGAAATGTTACTTTGGTGATCAAGATCTGATTTTTTTAACGGGGCGTAGCCGAGTTAGAAAAATAGTAGAGCTGACCAAAGTATTTTGGACTCGAGTTGCAAGCAACATTTTTTCTATGAACGTCAAAAAATATAGTTTTAAAGTAAAAATATTCTTAGCTTGATATAAAAAAAAAAATTTGAATTGGCTTGGAAGGCCTCGTCCTATATCCTCCCTAGGTACGCACGATGTTCCAGGAACATGATAGGAATTGTCCTTCGTGCGCTCCAAGAGATAAAACAAAGTTATTGTTGAACATTCAGAAATATAGATGATTTCGTGAATATTTGCTCGATTGGGGATTGTGGAGTTGAAAATATCTCAATTATATTTTACATACCAATGCGTGAAGTAGGTACTTCGCGCACTGTTTCACTTCGCGCATTGTCTTGTGCAAGGTACCATGGTAACGTAGGAAAAGTGTTACTTCGCAATTTGTTATCAATGCGCGAACCTTCTTATTTTTTGACGTTCGTAGAAAAACATCTTTTGTACTAGATCCTGATTGAAGAAGTTATACAAACCGAAAGCAACAATGAAAAATGGAAACCTCATCTATTCAAATAGAGTCAGAAAAAATTTAAATGAAATCGTGAATATTCGTTTTTTTTTAATCTTCGGAATTTTTCAAATTTGCAAACGGCATTTATATAGTTAGTCATAAAACTGCGCAAGTCTGCGATTCAACTCCCTCTGTAGCTCTTACCATTTTCGAGATACCCATTTATCTACTCAATTCCACTCACCCGGTTTCAATTTTTCTGTGGTGGAATATCTTGTATACACAACTATTTTTTCCTCGTGTAAAGGATATACAACGGTGGCGGTTAAAACACTCAAGGAAGATGCTAGAGAATCAGAACTGAACGATCTTCTATCAGAGTATCAGCTGTTGAAAGAAGTCTCTCACCCCAACGTAATCCGTTTGTTGGGAGTCTGCACGGAACCAGGAGGACCCATATATCTGATTATCGAATATTGCGAATATGGGTCACTCAGGTGAGTGTCGTACTGCAATGGGAAACTTCACTCCATGCTGCCAACCTAAAAACCTCAGCCAATGTAGAAACAACATCACGGAAGTTTGAATAGGTACTCTAAAGGCAATTCAAAACAAGGGATATGATCTCTTATCCGCAAGAGATCATATCGCAAGTAACCAATGGGAAGTACATTGAATTTCTGTTTACATTCAAGTTCTGATGCATATATCGTCGACGTAACCGCAAAACCAAGTAACTGCAAAAACCAAAATTTTCAGGAGACACTGAAAAAAAAAATTTCGGGTTAACTGATCAGATTCAATAAAAAATAGTTACAAACCACCTGATTATTATTATCCTCACGTTTGTACAACGATTATTGAAAAAAGTCATTGTTTTTGTTTGTCAGCGTGAGTTACTTGATTTTGACATCTGCTTCTGTGCGAAAGCAACAACAGAAAAGTAATTCGCAAAAACACGTAACTTCATTTTTCGGGACTTTATGCTCGACACATACTCAAGATAAATTCTCACATCCTTTGTTAAAATACCAATTAAAGTTGAGAATAAGCTGTTTTACATATCTGTTTTATGAAAAGTCACTAACCAATTACCAGAGATTAATCTCTGTGAAAAGAATTTGAACACAAAATATCATACCAGTTATGAGGTTTTGCATACGCGTCCCCACCAATATGATAGACCGATTGCCGCCAGTATCCCATTTTCGAATTCTTGTCAGTTACTTGGTTTTGCCATTTCACCGACAATATTTGAATTCATCAGTAGAATATCTTGAATCATTATTGCTCGGTTTGACATGTTATTCATGAAAGTTTTTTCACTGCATATGACAGAAAATGATAATTCCAATCAGTGCATAATCCAGATAGATTTTCTCTCAACTTCGTGATTGAATTCAGTTTCATTTTATTCCCAGAAGTGGACAGTTACATACTGAATTTGCGAAAATACTTATTCGCAAAGGCTATGCACATATGTTCAATTTTCCCTAACAGAGGTAGGTAGATCAATAATTATTCGTACATATATTATATCATATTATAAACACATGTAGATGAATCGACTACAATATATACATTTCAAATATACCTACTATGTGAGCTTCAACATCATATTCAATCCACTTCATTTATAATTATTTATTCCACAACTGAATGAGAACGAAACGCAAAATATCGTAACCTCAAATCGGGGCACTGCGAATATATCATGTAATTGAAGTTGTGAAACAACAAGTTTAATGTATATGAAATCGTTCATTAATGACCCCTATTAATGGACGATTTGTCCATTAATGCACGATTGTTTTATAGGCAACCAAACATACACCGCGTGCATTCATTGTTTATGCTATAACTAGCGGAATCTGCATTTAAATCGAAAATATGGATTTTATCGACGATTTTCCGTTAACGGGTTCGCCTTTCCAAGTTTCTGACACGATTTTAATCACTGTTTTCTAACACAAGGAATTTATTTCCTATGTTGATCATTTCGACAAATGTCAAATGACACTAATGTCAGTAACAAGGCTACTGGGTGATTCTTAGCAGTTTCCGGATGGATGATGAATTCGCGAACCAAGTTTTCTTCATTGCAGGAGAAATGAGAAATATAGTCGACGGAAAAATTTTGTAACCAACTTGTATATTAAAAGGCGATTAATGATCTCGAACATTAACGCACTCGCTTCGCTCGCACGTTAAAATATCTCGATCATTAATCGCCCTCATTAATAAACTAGTTGGTTAAATAACTATTAATACACTAGTTGGTTAAATAACTATTTCCGTCGAACTCGTAATAACGACTAAGTTTAATGTTTATGAAATCGTTCATTAATGACCCCTATTAATGAACGATTTGTCTATTAATACACTATTGTTTTATATAGGCAACCAAACATACACCGCGTGCATTCGTTGTTCATGTTATAACTCACGGAATCTGCATTCAAATCGAAAATATGGATTTCATCGAAGATTTTCCGTTAACGGGTTCGCCTTTCCAAGTTTCTGACACGATTTTAATCCCTGTTTTTTAACACAAGGAATTTATTTTCTATGTTGATCATTTCGACAAATGTCAAATGTCACTAATGTCAGAAACAAGGCTCTACTGGGTGATTCTTAGCAATTTCCGGATGAATGATGAATTCGCGAACCAAGTTTTATTCATTGCAGGAGAAATGAGAAGTATAGTCGACGGAAAAATTTTGTAACCAACTTGTTTATTAAAAGGCGATTAAAGAGCTCGAACATTAACGCGCTCTCTTCGCTCGCACGTTAAAATATCTCGATCATTAATCGCCCTCATCAATACACTAGTTGGTTAAATAACTATTTCCGTCGACCTCGTATTAACAAGTAATATCAATGTTTATGAAATCGTTCATTAATGACCCCTATAATGATCAATTTGTCTATTGATGCATGATTGTTCCATAGGCAACCAAACAACGGGTTCGCCTTTCCAAGTTTCTGACACGATTTTAATCCCTGTTTTCCAACACAAGGAATTCATTTTCTATGTTGATCATTTCGACAAATGTCAAATGTCACTTATGTCAGTATAACAAGGCTACTGGGTGATTCTTAGCAGTTTCCGGATGAATGATGAATTCGCGAACCAAGTTTTCTTTATTCCATGAGAAATGAGAAATATAATCGACGAAAATATTTTGTAACCAACTTGTATATAAAAAGGCGATTAATGATCTCGAACATTAACGCGCTCGCTTCGCTCGCTCACTTTCCGAAAATTCCATGAATATTTCAACATCGACTGATGATTCTACTCATCCTTGAGTCACATCTGTGTCTCTAATGATGTTGAGAGATGAACCGAATTCTTTGAGAGTATATGAAGACAATCATAAACTGCGTTTCAAATGAACCTAACCTAGCTTCAAACAACCAGAACAAACCTTTTTATCCATGTTCGCGCCGTAATATCTTTATCAAATTTAGAGTAAAATGTACTCACCTATTTTGTAGGGTTAGAAGACTTAATTTGACGTCAAAACTCCAATATTTTTGAAAAGAAGCTACAGAGTAGAACATACTCAATCTAACAAATTTCGAATGCAAAGGAGTAAGCTCTACTCCACAGAGAACATATTCGAACACACACCCCAGAAGTGGAGTTCACAAAAACAAAATTTTTTCTCCAGATGACTCCTATCAGAGAGCTGAGTTGATCACTAGAATCAGATTTCCAACTTCAATAATGTTGGCTCTACATTGGTAGAGTTTTTTAGGTTGACAACTTGGAGCGAAGTCTCCTATAGAAATTGCTCTGTAAACTTCGAGATGATTCTATACGATCATTGATATTTCTTATTGATCAATGAATGCTCTGCTGGTTCTTGTACTAGATGTTCTGTTCTCTCAAAACCTCATTCGTTTTTCTCGTCAATCGGACGACCTCTTCAAACGAACTCGATAGAAAATTATTGTCTAAATTGAATCATGAAAATCATCCATGTCTCAAAGTGGTCTCAGTAGTTTCAAAGAATGAGAATACGAAAAGCCACAAATGTCAGTCGACCACACATTGAGTACAGGGTGATTCACCATAAATGTCCCCCCCTCTAGCTCACTTATTTTTGAACCGATTTGAAAATTTGAAAAATGATCTAAAATGATTTTCTAAAATTTTTTTTCCCGTTGCATCAGAAAATGCAGGGTGCTCGGAACAAATGATCTACAGAGTACTACTTGATTTTTTCAAAGGGAACACCCTGTATTTCGTTGTATTTTCAGATTCTTCCTGAAGAGCTGATTTCATCAATGTATCACACTTGGGGTCTAGCAGGAATGATTACAGAGATATAGGGTGTTCAAAATCGAGATTTTTCAAGTTTAGGATTTTTTTGTCTCGAAACTATTCATTATTGGTCGAAACGGATTCTATGTTACCATCTTGACTTTTGATTTACTGTCTACTGACATTCAATTGGAACATTTACAGGGTATTTGAAAATTCAGAAATCTTATCACCCTCTGTATCTGTTCCAATTATTGAATGTCAGTAGATAGTAAATCAAAAGTTAAGATATGGACATAAAAGCCGTTTTGACCGATGATGAATCGTTTCGTCTCAAAAAAATCCTAAAGTTGAAAAATCTCGATTTTGAAGACCCTATATCTCTGTAATCATTCCCGCTAGACTCCAAGTGTGATACATCAACCAAATCAGCTCTTCAGGAAGAATCTAAAAATACAATGAAAAATAGGGTGTTCCATATAAAAAAATCAAATTGTACCCTGTAGACCGTTTGTTCCGAGCACCCTGTATTTTCTGATGTAGCGGAAAAAGACTTCATCGAAAATCATTCAAGATAATATTTCAAATTTTGAAATCGGTTTAAAAATAACCGAGCTAGAGGGGGGATATTTATGGTGAATGACCCTGTACAATTATTTGAACCTGATGGCCCGATGACAACATTTTTTACATATCACAATATAATGTTTCTATCAATTCAGAAATGTGTGGACCCTTAGAAAATTGTGGTACTATAATCTATGTCTGATGATGGCCGTAGCATCAAAACTGGTGAAAAAAATTGTTAAATTTTTTACGTTTATTAAGTGTGGTCGACTGTCTTTTTGGTTTTCGTTTTTTTCTTTGGGATGAAATATCATTTCCATATTGCTGTGTGACACATACTCGATGTCTTCTATAGGAACCACCTGAGAAAGAGTAGGAGGCTCCAATATGAATCAAAAAAACTGATCAATACAGAAGAGAATGACTATGATGAACCGAAGACTAGCGACATCACTCCCAAAGACCTGATTTCCTTTGCTTGGCAGATTTGTAATGGAATGTCATATCTGAGCGATATCAAGGTGGGTTTTTTATTCTGAACCTCGTTATGCAGACTGATTTATATTCTTGGTCATTTCAGTTAGTTCATAGAGATTTGGCAGCAAGAAATGTGTTGTTAGCTGCTGATAAAATATGCAAAGTATCGGATTTTGGTCTGACCAGAGACGTGTATGAGGACAATGCATATTTGAAGAGGAGCAAAGGGAGAGGTGAGTTCTTTCCGAAGTATAACTGGTTTATCGAAATAACGCCTAAATTGGTAATATTCAGCGAACATTCAAGTAAGAGATTCAGCCAGAATTGGAATTTTGTAAAAATTAAATCAATAGTCAAAAAGGTCATAATCAGCTTTAGATTGAAAACAAACACACCTCGCTCGTTTGGAATATGTTACCTAGATTAGATCAATGGAGTATAGTTGAATACATTTTCCAATCACAATCATACCAAATACATCGATAACCTCAAATAAGACAAACAAGTTGATGACGTGAGGAAATCAGAAGAATCTGAAGGCTAGAAGGAAGTTAAGAATATTAATAAAGTTATGAATGAGGATAAAACCTATTTCATGTAGCCCTCCATATCGTTTAGTGAATTAGGATCAAGATTGTCACGTGAACAATGCTCAAGACATGCATGACAGACAGCATTCTAGGATTGCATGTCTGTAATAATAATAATAATAATAATAATAATATTAACTCGTCTTTATTCATCCATAAAATTATAAAAGTGATATAGATGAAATAGCGAAGTGTCACCCAAGGGTGTTTTCCAACTCAACCATAATGTGTAATTACATTAATACTAGCTAAAACTATGATAATCTATCTAGCTATGTTTATATCGATATCAATATAAGAGAATCAATGAAGAGAATATAATATGTCAATAATAATCATTAATGAGCTAAGATACGTTAGTGAAACACTGCATTAACCATAGGAGTGCCAGAGGGGTCAATTGATTTAATTCAAATCCAATTTGTGTAGATAATAATAATGATTTCAGCTTTTTTCAAATTCAGAATACTATAGTCATGAAATTCATTGGGAAGTTGATTATACGATTTACAGGCATTGTACGTAAAGCAACGTTGAAAGGTTGACGTCTTATGTTTATAGATTGTAAGCAATCGTGAATTCCTAGTGCAGTATTCGCTGGTATCACCTATTCTTACAAGCTTTTTTAGTAAATACGGAGGTTTTTCAATCTTTAATATTTTATGAGTTAGAGTGATTTTCTAACATCCTATTTCCATTCTTCCTCTGAAGATGCTAACATAGCATCACCATGCCTACTTCAACTGGTTATAATCAGTAGAATTCGTGAAGTTAACTCGCGTTATGATGTTAAATGTTTAACTGTTTTATATTTCAGTTCCTGTGAAATGGATGGCACCAGAATCTCTAGCAGATCACATCTACACATCGAAATCAGATGTATGGAGCTTTGGCATCTTGGTATGGGAGCTTATCACATTAGGATCGACTCCTTATCCTGGAATTGTAGTACAAAATCTTTATCATCTCCTGCGTCAAGGCTATAGGATGGAAAGACCTAATAATTGTTCCCCAGCATTGTATGTTTGAATTTAATTGATTATGATTTTCTATTCATGAAATTTTTGTTTTAAAGGTATAACATTATGCGAAAATGTTGGAGCCTGAATCCTCAGCAGAGACCAACGTTCCAGGAACTGAGTAAACGTTTCGAAAAACTGTTGGAAGATAACATTGAATACATAAATTTGTCCGACAATGTCATCCACAATAGAGGTTACTTCTTATCACCTTTTGCAGAAGGTATGTGCCCTGAAACGAAGTAAAAGGATGACTCATTTTACCTTTCAGATGATCTTCAGGAAAACATGGAAGAGGAGCTTTCGTCGGAAATAAGCTCCTTGAATTATTTGTCGAGGACAGAGTCGTGTGAGAAGTTTGTGGCTATAGAGAAAGCACTGCATGAAGAGCTTGAAAAAATCACAGATGTGGCGCAAACTACTCAAAGCTACGAGACACCTGTCAAAGTCCCGAGACGAGTGAAAACTCCTAGCAATGAGAATCCTGAAGAATATACTGATATGGGTAGAAAATCGTGAACCTGATGTGATAGGAGGAAGAAACGTTTTCTTTATTCATTCCATTCAAATTCGAATTTTTCGGGGTTTGCGGTATTTAGATGTATTCCATGAATTATTTCGAGAAATGATCCCAACAAAAAACATTCATCATTGTTCTGCTGAATCGCTTCATCTAGAAAATTACGTCACACGATTGATATTTCTCATGTTGTAAAAGTAACAATACCTGGACATCACAATTTCGATTTCCGAACATGGAAACTTTTTGAAATAGCGATTATTAATATGGAGCTATGTTAAACCAATGAGTGAGAGAATCAATCAACAAGGATAGGATGTTTATATGAAATTTTTATTTTATACTGATGCGCTCTGGTTTCCACCATTTTAACGCAACTTGAGGACGAAACAGTTCAAATAGCGACTCATAATAGATAGAATTATATGAGGAAATTTGAGATAGAGATTAATAACTTCAGTCAACAAATTCAATTGTGGTTTCAATAGTTATACTACGATGTTCTGAATATCCGAGGTAGTTCTGTCGCTTTGTTTTTCGCGGTATTGTGTCAATAAGAGACAGGATCATGAGGAGATATTCAGAAAAGATTGGTATTTTGCTGAACTATTCCACGACGAATACGAATCATTCATTATAAACATGACCAAGCTATTCTGACATCATCTCCTACCATCATAAACATCACATACTAGTGGTACCCGCGAGTGTCTCGTTTTCGAGAGTCTCGCATGGTCTCGTCTCGTTTTCGAAACAAGACTCGAGACGAGACTCGGACAAGACGAGACGAGACTTTTATTGGTCTCGTCTCGAGTCTCGTGCAAGACTTCCCGTGTCTCGTGCGAGAGTCTCGCAGGTAAATATTTCTGCGTGCCGACTGCAGACTTGAGAATTTCATTCATATTTAGAAAGAATTCAGACTATTTAGCACAGATAGACAAAACATTTCATTCATACATACTTACTTTAAAAACACAATCCATGATCGGCATGATCTCTTATGGCGGCAGAAAATAACGGCAATTCTGCAATAACGATAGATCGCGAATTGAATGACTACCGAGATGACTACTTATACCTGAAAATCTATAAATAAGTCATTCTGTGCTAAATAGTCTAAGTTGAAGAATAACTTCGTTTTGATAGATATATTGCAATGGTGGAAAATTCATGCTTCTGAATTCCCACTTCTAAGTTTGATGGCACGAGATCTCTGAAGCATACCGGCTACTTCAGTTTTTATTCTTGTTTAGATGTATGATGTGAGTATGTACTTATGAGGTACTTACTTTTCAAATTGTAATTTTGTCTTCCTACTTCTACATTATAGCTAGAAAGGAGGTAAAGGTGAATATCCCGTACTAGACTGGAACAAGATTATGCATGACGTAATTGCGATACATCTACGAGACTCTCGTACGAGACGCGAGACAAGACGAGACTGGAGGCTGCGAGACGAGACTCGAGACAAGACTTCATATTTCATCGGCGAGACGAGACGAGACTTTTCGAAAGTTTCGTCTCGTTGGTCTCGTGTGAATCACTATCACATGCCATACTGTCAAACTTGGCCATCTTCAGTTACATCAGAATACGCAGAATTGAAAGATGGCATCAATATTTCGTTTCTTTGATTTGTGATTGGTCAGATCATGATATGTAAAAAATTTGAGATGAGTGGATCAGTCTTTATATTGATACTCTTGAACTCTGGAAACAATCACCAACTCATTCATAGATAGCGAAACGGTGGTCTTTCGGAGACTAGTTTCTGACTGATAGTTTTTATATTCGATATTCCAATTAGAGTTAGCCCTCACTAATGACGAGAGTATCTCGTTAGCTATGAGAAACGAAAACAATCAGTTTGTAGTGTGTTATTGATGAATATACGTATTCTATAAAATCGTATGAAACTCTGTTATCTGTGATCCCGTGATGGTTAAGATACAATTCTTCACACAATTATTCTAATTGATAAGGAAATCTCAATTCAATTCGTGATGGTATGAAGCAAGATGTATTATTCAATATGATTGCGGTGTATCCCCAATATAAATAGTTCATATCTACACAATCGTTTGAGAACTTATTGTTTTTTGGTACTAGTAGTAGTTACTTCAGTAACTATTATTTGACTGTAGATATTCAACAAATGATTGACAAGTAATTGTTCAGATAATGTGTTTTCACCACATATTTCCATATTGTTGAAATAATATCACACTCTACTTAGAATTCAAACTAATTCCGATGTGCATTCGATTCATAGTTAAAGATATTTTTGTCAAGCTGCAATGTGATTTCTTCAATGCCTATTCGTTTCGTCAATATTGTATAATATCGTATTGTAATATAAACTATTAGTATTCTTGTTTTTTCTTGTGTTCATTGCAAACATAGGTTAGGTTCCATGTGAGTGGGGCGAATAACGCCTCTCTACTGCGAGCCCAGATGGGTCTATTATGGCTCACTCCTAGAGGTTACGGTTCAGTGTCAAAAATGTCCTTTCTTTCACAAAGTTCATGATTGAATGAGGTGAGGTTTTGGATTGGTACAGCCGAATATGTCGAACCTCAGTCTCTCTAAACAAGAGCATGAATATAGTATGAGTTCAGCCGCGGTTCGTCTTCTACACAGCAGAACCGACAGTTCACTTGTTGGTTCAGACTCATTCTTCCTAGGTGGTGTCCTAGATGACAGTGTTTCGTGAGCAGTCATGTTAAGTCTACTCCATTCCTATGATCCGCTTGTTCTTTTCTTTAGTTTGTTTAGGCAGGAACACCTTCGAATGGGTTAATCCTGGTAATTCAGACCAGTGCGTGAGTCTATTCTCCTCCGTCCAGTCCGACATAGTTGTTTTGACCGCACTTGCGGAGACCTCAAAGTATGGTTCTGGTCCTATGAACACAGATTCTTATCCCTGTTTGGCGGGGTTGTCTGCTTTCTCGTTGCTCTCCACCCCCTGATGTCCAGGCACCAACAGCAGAGTGACTCTGTTGTTAGCACCCAGGCATCCTAGAATTTCAATACAGCTCCATAGCCTGGAATTCATCTTGCTGGAGCTCAGTACACCAAGAGCAGCCTGACTGTCTGATACAATACTGATGTTTATATTTACTAGAGGTCTATTCGTCAACAAATGAATAAAAACAAACTCACCGAGATTGACTGAGATTTATGTCTTCGGTTTTTTTCTGAACACACCGGCTCCAACTCCAAGCGGGGTTTTCGAACTATCTGTATCCATTACGTGTTAGGTCTCTGGAGATTGGATTGATCCTCTTACCCACTCGTCTCTCTTCGGAAAGATGACTTTGAGAGACCTTTGTACGTGTGTCTAAGTGACCAACATGTCAGGAACAATCCCTAGAGTTTGGTGATTTTTGTTTCACGCAGTATCCTGGAGTGGTCCAGCAGTCGCCCACCGTTGATTCACTGTTCCAATGACTAACCTAACCTGACTACAATGTAGAGGGGAGTGACCATTGTTCTTACGATCTATAGGAAACCATCCTGGCGTCCCTCTCCAAGGCAATGTGGAGGGAACTGAAACCCAGGTTTTCCATCGCTGCCGTTGGAGTGGAGGAGATTCCTCCTGTAATGGCCAGGCATGAGAGATGCTGAAGACCAGCGAGTTTTGCACTGACTGTACCTCGTAGACCTTCAGTCCACTAGACTACCGATTCATACGTGACCATTGGTTTTACTGGTTTTACCATTGTCTAGTAAATCCAGTTGATCTTTCTGGGGTTCATTTCCGCATACCCTGTGAGATTCCTGGCTTTGTTGAAAGTTTTTGCCATGCGAGCATTCCAGGTGAGTCTCTTATCAAGCGGTTGACACCTAGATATTCCACCTTCGCAGCAAACGGAATGCTCTCTTTATATAGGACAGGCAGACGAAGCTTATCTAGCTATTGCCTTGCCTTTTAGAAAAAAAAGGAAAACTACAGGTTTCCGAGGGTTCACCGACATCTGCTCCCTACCCTGTGACGACCTTTTTTCTTCCTGAACCTCCATGCTGTGATGATATGATGTACCGATTAACAATCATGGTTTCGGTCCAGTTGCATATTTGAGTGCTGATTCCTCTACCTTGCATGACCATATAGTGATTGTGGTAGGGGTGGATTGCACGGCTTCTCCAAGAATATTGAGGACCCAACCCTGAATGCCCGATTCAAAATTATCCTCCATGAATAGATTCTAAAATGAAATGAAACGGGCTCCAAGTAATTCGAATAGTGTTCATTTGAAAATATTTTCTCAAAATTTGACGATTTTCTCCCAATATTGATAATATGATTCACATTTCATTTCATGAATTGTTGAATTTGAGCATATATTTGCGTGAAGCCCCCCGCCCTCCGGAGAAAAGTCCTAGTTTTGCCAATGGTTATAACACAAAACCGTTCTTTCTCAACTATTTTCGATAAAACAATGAGTTACATTGTGATACGCCTTCAACTCCATTTGCTCTCATCAGTAGCGTGAATAAAATCCATCCTTATAGGGGGATGGGGGAGGGGTGAGGGGGGGGGGGAGGGGGGAGGGGGGGAAAGAGGGGTCCAGACCCCATGGACCCCCTCTTGGGTCCGCCACTGGTCTCAATGATGAAACAAAAACTTCATTGTGTTCCAGTTGTGGTTATTATTATCATACAATTAATCACGTCTCACACGTCCTGACTCTGTTTTTGTATGATGTCGAATTCGAATTTCATGTTATTTCTTTCGTTATACCCATATCATTTCGCTATTTCATGTTTTATATGACGAAATATCGAAATCATAATTTCTCACTCATGGAAAATAGATGTAATTCCGTGCTCAAAATTGTAGATTCTCTCTCTAATTTTGAATTATTGTATATGTTCTGAATTTGTTTTAGTTTCAAGTTTTCAGTATCTTTTGCCTATTCTCATACGATATTCTGGTTGTGTACTGATAAATAAAGATTTGATCTCATCTCATCGTTGAAAATTCTTTCAACAAGGTGTCTTGGATTGCCACGTTGTAATTGATAGAGCTGATAGAGTGCGTCAAAATTATGTCAGAACTTCGTATAAAAAAATGTCTATCGCACTTCGTTACGGAGTTATCGACCTTGAGAGTTTGAATGAAAACTATATTTCTCAAGTATAATCTTTAAACGGTTGCCAAG